TTGAGGACTGTTTTTTATATCGTGACCTGTAGATCTTTGGACGGCAGTCCTGAGATACAGGCCTTTTAGAGGAGGTCAAACAAGAAAATAACATATCTCTTTTGACTGAAAATTTTCACACTTGTGAAAAATTCGATAAATTTTACGAGAATTCTCATTTATTCGCACAAACATAGTTTGACCTGACTCACTACGGCAGCCTTTTTAGCTGATTTCAAATTCCCTAGCGAGAAAGTCTCCTGCTGCGCCACCAGTAGCACCTACTTCAAATTATATTCTTACTGATTTAATTTCGCTGCACAATCTCATAAAAGAGCTGTTTACTAGCAAAAATGTTCATTTTCATGTCATGCTTTCAAATTTTTGGTGAAATGTTCTCTCTGAAAATGTCAGCTTATGCAACAAATAAGAGTTTTGTATCAAATGACAGCTTGACTTTTTCCAATTAATAATTCCTGCATGAAAATTGTGTTTCACCATAAAACCAAAGCGTAACTTCCATGTGATATTTTCAAACCATTCGCGAGGTATTGCTATTATAGGGTAAAAGAATAATACAATAGCGCAGTATTATTCACTAGCTATTAGAAAGCGGGCAGGGGAGAAGGAAGAAGAAGAAAGAAGTGTTAACTAGAATAACAAGCAGGATTATGGCTTTGGTTCTGAAATCAATCTTTAAGATTCACCTACAACTTCAAAAATTGCTTTTGCTGCAGAAGAACCTACCAATTTGAGGAAGTATGCGAAACTGTGTACAAACGATCTAAGTCTCCTGCAGGTTCTTTTCTCATCACTCTTCTATAGTTTCAATTATAAAATTTTTCTCAGGAATTAATCAAAGCAAACGAACCTCTCAAAGCTCCGCTAGATTTACATTTCAATGGAGAGTTGAGCCTAATGGATGTGGTTAAAATAAGTGAGGCTGCGCTGAAGAGGATAGTTTGCATGGCAAGAGATTTGGCAGCTTTCCAAGGACTGGACATTGAGGACAAAAAGAACATTATGAAAGGTTAGGAGCATAAATCCAACTGTACACTCACCGCGATCTTATCTTAGGCAGCTGTAGCGAGTTGCTGATTTTAAGAGGTGTAATGGCATTTGATCCGAACAAAAACACTTGGAACCACAACTTCACCACGGTTTGTTTTTTTCCTTATAATTGCATCAAAAGTGTTCTGGTGTAGTAGTATAGATTGTTAGTGGTTTGATTAAATGTTATTAATGTTTCAGACAAGAAGGTTAATTGTTTATAAGTATTTTGCCGAAACCCGGTTCTAGGTGGGATCTTTATT